TCGAAATTTTCGTTGAGTATCGAATTTTCTGTCGAACAGAATTTTGCTTTCGATGGGGTAGCGAAGTGTTAGAAAATTTTGAAAAATGTATGATTTTGCATTTGTTTTCTTACTTTTTGGCAGGTAAACACTAATTTTAAACCATTTTTTATCAATGTCATGCAGTTTTAACGTCGTGAATACAAAACACAAGCTCAAAGGCTGCTTTTACTTATGAAAGAAAATCCCAATACTCAGTTGGCACGATCTCTGAGAACAAATCATAGAGCTGTGGATATTTTAAAATACTTTAAATAGATTTGGCTCACAAACGCCTCTTTAGACAGTCGGAAGTTTTTAGTAAATCTGTAGACAAATTTCTTAAATATATTTTATGTCAAAATATATTATAAAGACTACACTTAAACTCTCTTAAACATTTACTACTCCTCGTCAGTTCACTAAACTCTCATCCTCTGACGAATCGTTGAACCCCAGAACTTCGTTGTACAAATTTTTACCACGTTTTTATAAACTTGCTATCTTTTTTATTTCATTTTAATTTGCACAAATTTACATAAATATGTATAAGCACACTATTTAGTTTGCTCGATTTGTAAACAAAGCTTCTCAGCGGTGAAAAATATACTATTGTAAACAACATAAACGAGCGAAGTTCACAATAGCGTTATTCTTCGTCGAATGAGCGCCATAATACCAAATGAAAATTCGTTCGATCAGCACTTTCGACCACAGTCGAAGATCGAATGTAACTCATAATAGGGGCCAATATTTCAGCGTTTTTTGCATTCATTACACTTTCAATGAAGTCTTAAAAAAGTCGCCTACTTTTTTCTGACTTTTTATGCTGTTACAGCTTTTTGATGCTTTTGCGAGCGTGCGTGTTGCAATACATCAGCTCTTCCTGATTTGGCTTTTAATGAGCAATTGCAAACATTACAATTAGTCTCGTAACCTCAAGTGTTTACACAACCAGCCTTTGTCCAAGAATCAAAAAAAAAATGCGCGTATACTTGGTTTGTATCATATTTAAGTCATCTGTGTCCAAAGAATAATAATCTTTTGAAGCAGCTGCTGCAAAACACAAAGCTTGTAAAGATTTATTAAGAAAGTAATTCAAAACCAGTTCTAGTTACAAGATTTAGTAACAGAGAAAAATTACTGGGAAGTTAACAAACGTCAATTTTTACACAAAAAACGTCCAAACGTCAACAGGATACAAAAAACGTTCAAATGACGTTAAAAACGGCAACCTGGCAACGCTGGTTCCACGTCCCCTTTTCCAACTCCGCCCATTTTTTCCAATGAGTATGGAATTAATTTCATTTATCACGACACCATGTTCCAGTACTCTACCGCCAATATTTTAAGACATATACAAAATTAAAATTTTAGTTAGTATGGGAGGTGCCACGCCCCCTTTTCCAGTACTGCCGATTTTTCTCTATGCTTATAACCTTCCCGGGATAAAAACAAATAAGTGTGAAAAGTTTCGTGCGATTCCGTGTCGCGGTTCAAAAGTTATAAGGTAATAAACAAACAGACGTTCACATTTATATATATAGATGATTACAGCTGCATAAACGTTGTTGGTGTTATCCACGTCCTCTTTAAAGTTGATCGCATTCTCTAGTTTTTGTTGTATACGTAGGCTTTCTAATGCCATTCTCCTTTTTACCCCTCTTTCGATGTCCGAAGTCCGCAAAGTGTTTGTGTTTCGTCAAGTGTTATGCAGTGCTGTTGGCATCTTTTGGTTTCTCTCATCCGCTTTATGTTCGTTAATTCTTGTTTCCACTGTTCTTTTTGTTGTGCCTACGTAGCATTTGTTACAGCTTTCAGTATCGTTCTCCTTGCATTCTATTTGATACACATTTAGGGGATTCACAAGACGTGTTAACCGTCGTAAAATCTTAAGGTTAACATCTTTTTTAATTAAAATGGTTTTAGGGGATTTCTAACTAAACCGAAATTCTTTTAAACTGATAAAGAATATATAATTAGCCAACCCCCCAACCATTTTAACCGCTATTTTACATAAACAAGTGTTAAGCTTAAGATTTTACGACGGTTAACACGTCTTGTGAATCCCCTAATTATGTTGTTATTTCTTCGGAAATCTGTCTTTTGTTTTTTAGTACACTTTGCGTGTTGTGTTCTGCGGTCTGTGAGCTATATAATATCTTCATTCTTTATTGTTCTCCTGAGGTCCTGGTTATTTATTAGTCCTGGTACGTAAGTTACTCCAATGTACATTTTATTATTAGTTGTGTAGTTCGCCTGAAGCACGAACACTTGTGACGACTTCGGGAATACAAGAAATTTGGACATCGAAAGAGGGATAAAAAGGAGAATGACATTAGAAAGCCTACGTATACAAGAAAATCTAGCGAATGCGATCAACTTTAAAGAGGACGTGGATAAAACGAACAACGTAGAGTATAGGATTAGAATGCTATAATATGTATTGGGAATAGATACTTAAATGGCGCTAACGTTTATCGTTTGATAATTTTTGTTAATAATATTTATGTAAATGTGAGTTTAATGGCAGAACGTAAAGTAATGTCTTTAACTATGTTTATTGTTTTTGCATCAGCGAAGTTTACTTGCTAATCATGTTTCAGGTTTATTTGTTTTTATTTTTCGTATAAAGACTCCCTGATGAAGACGCGAGAGCGTTGAAACGCGTAGGAGGGTAAAAGGAAAATTTAATTTTTCGCTTTTTTAACTCTATCGGCCGAAGCAGTACCCAAACCAGCAAATTTAATGCCATAAAAATTAAAAAAATTAAATTAAATAAAATATCTTTTTAAACTAAAAGAAAAAAGAAAAAAAGTTCTGATGCCCGAGGACTTACACTCGGATTTCCCAAAAGCCAGTCTAGTGCTTTGCTCACTCTGCCATTGCGACTGCTGGGGCAGCGCGAGCAAAATGACATACATAAATGTTTTTTTTTCTTTCCTTTGCACCAGCCGATTTCGAATCAGCATTCGAATTCGAGTTCACTCGGATTCAGTGAAAGCAATTTTTTTCATATTCGTAGCAGGCATTCGAATTCGTAGATTTTCTACGATGGATTCAGTGATAACCCTGAGTAACAATAATGGATCTTTTTGCATTATTTTTAAGATTCAGCGATTTTGAATTTTATTCCGACAGCAAAAACTCGTCGTAGAGTATCTGTACGAATCTTCTTCATTACGAACAAATTCAATGAAGGCTCACTACGAGTTTCGAATTTACGTTCGTAGCTATTCGGATTCAGTGAAAACACTTTCGCAGATTTCACGAAAATCGAACCTACGATGGATTCAGTGATAGCCCTGTTTATGTATGCCTATTATGTATTATGTATTGCTTAAAATTGCAGACAGCGACTAACAAACAGCAGACGAAAAAACAATAGTAAATAAAAGCTTAGATAGACGGCAGGGTTGGTCCGGACCAACTCGTTAATTCAGAATTATCTCCGGAATTAATTGCAGTTGACGGATTAAATTGTACAACTAATTCCCAAATTAATGCGGATCAGGGGCATTTTCGATTGTAACACTGATCAAAGCGGTCATCTGCCGTCTATTGTGAATGAAAAATTAACGAAGAATCCACTACATTCCAACAAAAAATTATAATAACTAAATAATAAAGTAAATAGTAAAGACTTATCAATTGGACCTATTCCCGTTGGCGTTGTCGATAGAAAACGAAATAAAAACGGCAATTTGACATCAACATTTATAGGGAATTTATTTCTATCCCCACTTGATGAATATGGATACGACATTGAAACATTGATTATCTCATTGTTAAGAATTAAATTGAACCGTTGCAACGGTTGATGATAAATTTTCTTTGCCGTATCAATATATTTCAACGACAACGCCAAAATGGAATAGGCTCGAATATGCGGGTATCGTGTAGTTATGAGCACCTTATATGTATTTCATTTTGTTTTATTTTATTTCATTTTATTTTACACTGATATTTCAAGTTAATTTAATTTTTTGTTCATTATATATATATATATATGTAAATATAATTTCATTAAAAACGTCCACAGCTATAATTACATAAAAAAAAATATATTAAAAATTAAGGCAATTTAAAATATATATATATATATATAAATTTTGCTAGCTTTGGGATTCGAACTCACGACCTCGCGGCTTGTTTAATCCGCAACTCCCGTCTATCAAGCTACAATTTTCATCGAACCAACTGCGCCGTTAATCTGGATAAACCTTGCCGTCTGTCTATAGTATAAGAGTTTGGGCAGAACACCATGTCACAGATAATTACAAATACTCGGCCGAATCGCGAATTCCATGAGAACAAATATTCCTAAAATTATAAAGCAAAACAAAAACAAATTTTCCCCATTATTTTAGTTTTGCTTGTTAAATAATGGGAACAATTTACTCACACAAAATTGGTGATAGAGCTCATTCTTTATATTGCTTCTTCCTTATATTTTACAAGTACAAATACGCAGCTTATCACATTATAATAAAACTCAAGTATGGAGATATGTCTATTTTAGTCTTAAACTATTGAAAAGAAAAATCATACAATTTTCATTACAGTTCTTTACTTTGCATTTTTTATTTTGCATTTGTCTTGATTTTATAGGCTCAATAACAAATATGCTGTCTTCACTGAACCATTTCGGCAAATTAAGTGTTAAATTAATTCTACACTTCACATTTAGGCATATAATTCGTAATAATTTTTAAAATAAATGTTTTGAAGCATAAGTGTGGTGTTTAACCACAATTAATTTTATATTTAGAGTAATTTTCGTTTAATTTGATTGAAACTACAATCCTGTGAACCACAAGAAAAAATTACATATAAAACTCTAAGTCCATTCGTCTATCAGTCAATCTATATACCTTGTAATTCTGTTGTAACTTCGTCGAGTAGTTAAGAATCATAACTTGATTTATATTAAATACAAATTTTAAACGCATTCTTCTTACTGTAACTTTAATCATCTACAATGGAGCAAACAAACTTGGAAATATAATCATATTCATCCCTACCAGATGGTCTTGGCTGATTTTGTGGATTTTGTGTTTGACGCCATGCAGGTGCAGCCACAGCGTTATTACTTCCGACAACACTATTTGAAGTGGCATTTGAACTACCGTTACCACTAGTAATATTATTACTATTTCCGTTTTTGCCACTGTTTGAGCTGCAAGCACCAGAAACAGGTTGATTTTGACTATTGCTGCCGTTGCCGTTGCCCCCAGTGCTTCCACTGTTCATTGCATTGCTTCCGCAACCATTATTACCACCTGAGCCGCTCGCTACTGAATGGGTGGCCATGCTGCCGTTAACATTACCACCGCTTACACCACCAACACTACCACAGGGTCCTACATTGTTATTACCACTGCTAGACGATATGGAACCATTTCCACCACTAACACTTACGCCACTATTTGAAGCATTGTTCGCCCCATTGCCTCCGTTTCCTATTAAACCACATCCCGAAACAGTGTTAGACGTCTGTGGCAAATGTTGTAAAATACTTTGAACTTCATTTTCACTCGGCGACTCTGCACAAATGGTAGTGCTACCGAGAACACAGTTATTTAATGTCATTTGGGCTTTGTTTGCTTCTTCGCGAGTTGCATATTTACATAAGGCAATTCCTTGATTTAAATATAAATGAAAATTTGCAAGTGGGCCATGCTGCATGCATAAGGTACGTAAAGTTGAGCCATCAATCTAAGGAAGACAGGAAATATAGATATAAGAGCAGCAAGTGAAAAATAATGCAACACATACCTGTGCGGTCAAATTTTTGAGTAATAGCCATGTGGAGTTCCATCCCGAATTTGCTGTATTCCAACCAGAAGTGCTATTGGGAACTCCACGGCCGCCTGTAACAACCCATCCATTTGAACTGCCAGCAACTACCGAGGAATTTGTTACGGATGGTACGCCAGTTACCGATACGCCTGCACCTTTGCTTGAACCTAAGCCTGGTGGTGGACCTCGAGAAGTCTTGTTCATTGAAGTTGCCCATAATTCCGACGGGGCACATTGTTGTGGACTATCGGACCAACTATATTTAATTAGTACACATATAAGTATGTAAAGGGGGGGGGGGGGATGAAATAACACAAACGGCAATAAAGCGAAATTTGCTTTCTTTCACTTTTAAATGGGAAATAATATCAAAATCTGAGTTTTTATCTTATTTCCCATTGCTTATTTATACTATTTGTAACAGTTTACTGACAGAAGGAAAAAGAACTTTGTTTATTCTAACATACAATTAATTAAAAAATGTGATATAACTCATATGAAGAAAGTAATATTCACAAACTATTTTTACTTATGACAAGTCCAACAAAATATAGGGAAAGCGTCGTCCTTAATAACTGCTCGTCCAATTGGACCTAGCGCTTTTGTATGAATTTTATCTGCATGCTTTTTTAATATGTTGAAAGCATTGCTGGAAAACCTTAAAATGTTTACATGAACCCTTGGCGCAATAAACAAGTGAAGTAACAGCTTTCTCGCTTTATTTTCTGACATTCGGCTGCCTTGTAGTCAAATTGTAAAGGGAATTTTTCATATAAGGCACAGTCAAAATCGTTCTTCTCACTATTATTACTTCACCTGGTGTAATTCCGACATAGCATAGAACAAACAAAAGTTGCCGCTCCTGTTTGCAGCATATAACAAAGAGAATATTGTTTTGAGTTTTATCTACAGTTAAAATTTCTGCATTATCATCTCTTGCTTCTCTAAATCCGAACTGGGGAGTTCGTTTACGAAGACAAAGCGAACATGTGATACGAAATAAAGACGTAACAATATGTAAAATTTTACCTACTCTCAGACTTCTAAATTTGGACGTATACCCGGTACAAGCAGGTGCGATGTATGGCGCAATAAACAGGTGAAGTAATAAAACAGCTTTCTCGCTCTATTTTCTGACATTTGCTGTCACACTTTATAGGCAAATTTTCAAATAAGGCAGTCTCAAAATCTTTCTTCTTACTCTAATAATACTTCACCTGGTATCAGTCCTCCATGGGTGGGGTGCATGCAATAACACTATACGCAATAATTCCCATTACTTGAACATTAAAAATCAGTTTCAGAAGTAAACTAGTGTCATTTTATTATTTTCTTTTTTCTAAACGGGTCACTACCTATGTGGACTATTTTTGCTTTATTACTAAATTGTTAAGTTTAAAAGTTGGTCTTATTACACAACGAGAAATGAAATAAAGCAATTTGTGTTATTTCACATTCAATTTGGAAGCAACACAAATTTGCGTTATTGTCGTTTGTATTATTTCACCCTCCCCCCATGTAAAAGGTATCAAAATAATATATGTGAGTAGTCCACTTGCAAACAGCGTTATGTATTTTATAATAGTAACATCTAAATTTAATCTTTTTTATTACCTGAAAATTCGGATAAATAAGAGCTTATTAACATTATAACATAACATAACATGACACAACATTAACAGTTTATACGACGTAAAGCAGTTGTCTAAGTTCATCAGAAGATGAAGACTTTTGAGAGTTTATAAATTAGTATGATAGGGACTTTTGAAATAGTTAACATTTGATGCTATTTTTTCAGAATATAGAAAGACTTCGCACTGTTAATGGACATGAAACCACTTTAAATACTGGTACGTTATCTACCAAAAACTAAAAAAATTTACATAGTGCGCTTTGCAAGAAGACTACTCATAGATTAGCACGATATGTGAAACGTGAACACACCTCATCCAAATTTATAATAACATTAAATTTATTTAAAAGGGAAACAAATCGAATTTATTATGCTTACAGGATTAATATTTCGATTGAACTTTGGGTGAAGCGTATTCATTGTAGTTTTCTTTTAATATTTTACAAAAGTAGTTGTATGTTGTATTCTAATCTTTGTTATATGTTAGAAAATCTCTCTACCTTTGAAAGTTTTGATTGCTTGATGATGGATTAAAGCTCCATGTGGATGAGGATAAACTTAGCGGTGTTAAATCAGTCGGTGAACTTTTGCTAGGATTTGCAAAAATATCAGCTTCTTTTGGCGTCGAATTAATAGACAACGGAGATCTAGCTACACTGCCGGGAGTTATACTAGGATCGTCTTCTATACTTTTAATCTGGGAGCCCTTAAACATTTTGAGAAAGTATTTGAATACAGCCCTTCGTCACAGGCAAAAAATAGAACTACCTTCCATGGCTTTCCTGGTTCAAATTCTTGAACTAAATCGGTGTAAGTCGCTGCAGGCGTAGGTTGTGCAACGGACCAGTCTTTATTCTCAGTTTCAGTGGATGAGTCTGGCCAACCGTCACCAATACTTCGTCCAGTTGACCAAGTGCTATACAAATGTAAAATACATGCTAAGCTATTAATAAAAATTTCTACCAAATTTAACAATTTTTTACCCACCAAATTTAAAATAAGAAATATTACGTATAGCAAAACTATAACTATTAAAAATCATATACATATGTGCTTACCCATCATTTTGTAGACCCAGGGGGCCCATAGTATTTCCAGGAGCGCTAGATAAGTTTTGTTTGGTTGCTCCTGGTGCCCGAGAAAAATCTGTGCTTTCAGATGTCATATCCTTTTCTGGAAGTTTCCACTGATTTATAAGCTTTGACTGTGAATTTGGACCACCTGGATAACCACTATGCTGCAATTGAATATAACAAACATATCATAAAAATTTGTTTTTCGTTATAAGCCTTAGCTGATGATACCTTAGACAAGTTCATTTCTGAAAAATTGCCTTGCAAAGCACTTATGGCATCATGCTGTCCCCTAATATACTCCAGGTTAGAACTGTTGGCATGTGCTGCAGGATGCTGTTGTGTGTTTTGTGGCATGGACTGCTGCTTTTGCTTTAGTATGAACGCTTGTTGTGCGTTTATTTGATTTTGTAAATTTTGGATTTGCTGCTTATATTTGGCGATAGCATAACTAATTTGTGAGTTATTGGCATTGTTGCCACCACGTGTCAAGGACTGCTGTGCCGCTTGGAGGTGCTACAAAATTTCCACATATTACTTCAATCAAAAAAGGAAATAAAAATAAAATATTTCTTACTTTTATGTTTGTTAATAATTGATACAAAAGTACGAGCATTGAGGATGGCAAAGGCTCTGATAAAATTTGGCTGGATAAGTAACCACTATGCACAGCTAATTGTATTTGCTGAACAAGAACACGTAGTTGTTGAGCAGATGGTTGGCTGTTACTATTCGAAGCCGCATTTACAGCCGCAGTAACATTAGCAACCCCCTGTCCAAATGCGACGGCAGGATTCATAGTCTGCGGTCCACTTGCAACATTATGTGGTGCTGAATTCAGATACTTTTGCACTGGAAGTGGTTGTAGTGAATTGAGCGCTGCCAGGTTTGAATTATTACCGCTGGCACTAACAGCGTTGCCGCTCATATTATTTAAAATGTTCTAAATAAACCGAAAATAAAATGTATTCACTTATGTAGACACAACGTACAGCAAATAATAAAAGCATAAAGGATATAAATGTTCGCTATGTATGTAATAGAACTTACCGGAGGGAATGGCATAGTAGGCTGAGTGGCCGTTGGAGGGTAGCGCCCTGGAAAGCTACCAGGATTAGGGTGATCACCATAGGAACCCAAAGTTTCTTCGTGTCTTCTCCAATCCATCGCCATTGTAGCATTAGCCCGGAGGAGGTCTGCAGCTTCTTCGATGTTCATATTGGCGTTTATTAGAGCTCGTTCCACGTCCTCTTTTTTAAAGCCATTTTCAACAAGTACTCGGTATTGTTTACTCTGTTTGATCACGTCAGTGTTCAGGTTACCAATGTTAACGTTAACACTCCCTATTTTCTGTTGGGTTTTGCCTACAATGCCGCCGTGCCCATTCCAATCTGTTGACAAATCGGTTCCGTCATTTCCTGTTGCCGCACCCCACCCTGCGGCACCAACAGGCATTTTGTTTTGACTTTTATTCCAAGATGCAGGAGGATCATTCCAAGAATTAGCACCACCTACACTGACGCCTAGTTGTCCAATACCAGCGTTAGTTTTGTCATCCATCCAGTTTACGCCGGAATTAGGGCCCACATTATGGTTGGTCTCATCACCCCACGCGGCAGCATTACGAGCATTCACATTCGGATTGCTCGCATGCACCCACATAGTATTATCAGGTTTATGCTGATTGACGCCAGCACCGGGACCAACACCTGAACCAAGCCGGCCTTGGGGACCAACACTGCTAATGGGATTATTTGTATTACCACCAACGACTGGCGCATTTAGTACACCCTGATTGCCGCCTAGTCCATTTCCAGCTCCGCTGCCAAGACCAGCCACCGTATTTGTGGTATTTTGGTTACCTACAGCGTTTCGAGTTAAATGCCTGTTCATTGGATCAGAAATATCCTTCCAATGAGAACTACCTCCGCCAGATACACGTGACTGTTGTCCCCATAAAGATGTTCCATCGTCATAGTTAGGTATATTTCGTCGCTGTGGTGGGGGCGATGGTTCCTCCCATCCAGTGACTTTACCTGCCATTGAAGTAATATCTTTTGGTCCAACAACCGCTGAAGATGCGCCCCAATGAGCATTTACATTACCGCTAACGCCGCCAGGATTTATAGCGTTGACACCGCCGGGTCCGATGCCAGCTACGCCTGCACCAGCAACTACAGCACCAGTGGACACGCCGGCACCTACTCCACCGGGCCCCACTATTTTGTTCATTGCAGGTATTTGATTATGTGTCATGGAATGGTGTTGTCCCCACATTTCCGATGTTCCATTTAAACGTCCCGAAATCCCTCGAGGATCACCACGAATCGGATCACGTGGATCTAACATGCGTAAATCACGCGGCTCGGCAGCTGAGGTGCCCCGAATTTGATCACGTGGGTCAACTCCGCGCATTGCTATTACGCCGCTTACTGTACCACTGCTCATTTCACGAGAATCGCTCCAATTATTACCAGCTGAGCCACTAGCTGAGACTGAATTTACGCTACCAGTAACATTCACGCCAGGGCCACCAGTAGCACTACCTGAAGACACATGTAACATTTAAGTAAAGAATAGTGAATTTTTAGTATCAATACCAACCTACGGCAGACACACTGCCTATGTTCACAGATGGCGCCCCAGCAGCATTTCCAGATGTGCCTACGCCAACACCTACAGAGCTTTGACCCCATTGTGGTCCGTTCACAGGAACATTAGCGGCAACTCCCGTCGAACTGACTCCAGCTACGCCGACAGCACCTGCAGATGTAGGATTATTTGATGAACCAGTCCAAACACTGCTACTGTCCGCGCCATCATCATCTTCTCCCCATGTTCCACCTAAATTAGACGATGGTGTATGACCCCACGGTGTTTTTTGAACTGGCTGAGTTGGTGGCTGGCCACCGTTTCTTAAATTTAATTCCCACAGGTCAGTGCCATTATTTATAGTTGGTTTCCACATTGTTGGTGCTCCAGATGGGTCCTTGTTTGTTGGCTCAGGTGAACTAGGCACTTCCCAGTTCGTATCCTGATTAACATGCTGGCATCCCCAGCCATCCTGAGAAAAAAGCGCTTCACGCATTGTATTTAATTGCTCTAATTGATTTTTAGCAGCTGCGGCAGAAGTACCACCACCAACTAATCCAACATTACTATTGCTATTGCCAACATTATTATTATTCGAGTTCGAAATACTAGGGCCAGAATTACCACTTCCAGTGTTATTTGTCTTAGTATTATTAGCACTACCGTTATTGTTATTATTGGTTCCACCGTTGTTACTGTTGCTTTGTCCAGGCTAGAAAATGCCGAAAATTAAAAAACATTCGGAAGAATTATATGTCGCATATATAAGGTTTCAGATTTTTTTATTTTACATTTATTTCTATATACGTAGTTATAATATTCGTTATCAAGGCTACTCTCGATTACGTAGGTCTGACGATATTTTGATAATTACAGCCTAAGTACATAAGGCGCTTAAATATACACGCAAAGACAAAAAATTTCCGAATCAATCTCCAGACATATGGAAACCCGTTTTGATTTTGGTACAGTATCACTACAATTAGAAGCTGAGCTGGTTGATTTTGTTAAACTAAATTTTTTTATATTGTGCCGTGCTCTGTGAAAGCTATTTTTCGGCAAATCTGAATGAAACAAAGTAATTTCAAAGTAATTTTCACTTTTCTTAGGAGTCAATCATTCTTCAAAAATTAATACTAAAATAAAGCGTGTATGTTGCCTACAAGTAAAGATACGATGATGGTATCGTTGGTTGTGTTTTGAAAAAAAAATACTTTTTGATTAAACTTATATTACGCCCAAGCTGGAACAAACCCCACGGGCAAATAAAAAAATGTTTGAAACGTACTAGTTGTTTTCGATTGAGAAACACGGCCGCATAATTAATTCGACGTAAATGAACAAATCCTAATTCTCGCTATGAATCCATGTACACTCGAAGACATTGAAATCATCTGACACAAATTAAATATTGAGAATATCGTCCAAATGAAGCCATTGATATACTTAGAGTGTTCCTCCTTGGAAGGATGTGTGCAAATCTTTCCTTGCTAATTCTCCGCTTTTACAATTCATATTAATACCTAGACATATATTAATTTGATTTTATAAACCTGGCTATCTCGATTAGAGATAAACGGCATTCAGTAAGGGGGACAAAACAAATATTAACACGACTCTCCTTCTCTGAAACATGAAAATTCACTTAATCCTGGAACACCTTCAAATTAATGTAAATTAAAAAAGCACAAAATGAAACTAAACGGTAGTTTACATTTAAGGACCACCATTTTTTGCATTATACTTGTTTCTCTTCGCTCTCCTTGTATTACATTGAAGTTAATAGAAAAGTATTCGACAAAAAAATAAGTGATTAGCTTTCCATATGAAAATAAAGTCGGCAGTATTTTTAATGTAATGTAACAGTCCAAAATATCAAAAAGTGTTTTGGCGCGGAATCCACCAGGCTAAAATATGGTAAAAACTACATTCCCACGACAGCCGGTCCTACGGCGATCTCACCCCGTTTAGGTCGGCGAAATCTATCAAATGTTGTTCGATACTAGGGCTACATCTGCTCCGTACCCTTCTGCTCAGGACTGGCATAGAGTCCAACCCAGGGCCAGAAATTTACACCTGCTGCGTATGCCAGAGACGACTGCATACAAACTCCACCTTGGTCAGGTGCAATGCCTTTGATGGGTGCAGTCATCTCCATACCTGCTCGGGCCTACGCACGCACCGGCAATGGACCACGTCGTTCGTGGCCCCATGCTGTGCGAATCGGACCGCCTCCACGGCAAACCACCACCCGCCCGTGCAGCAGAGAACCAACACACCCACACCCCAGCACAACACAACAATATACACTAGGAATGTTAGTTTTTCGACCTTTTGCGATACCGGGATTTTCGGGACATCGTTCATACAATACCGGAATCCCGGGTTTAGTCCCGGGATTTAGATATTCAACTTAACATGAAAAAATTGCATCAATATAGTTTTAGAAGCTGTCCTACAATATAATAAATAATAAATAAATGGATTTGAAATCTACTTTATTATTGAAGTTGAAAAATATTTCATTACTAACATAACAAAAGAAAGTAATTAAATTTATACGCATTTAACAATACTTTAGCGTTTATATATCTGATAAAGTAACTTAAGGCATGTCGAAAAAAGCTCGATGCAAACAAAAACTTATGTCAACATATCGCACACCGTCTTCAAAAGAGTCACAACTCAAAATAATACGTTTGTCTGAAAATGCGAACAACTATTTCTTAGCACATGCTAATCATATGGTTAGGTTTCTTTAACAAATTATAACAAAAATTTTCCCCAGAGTTTTCTGAAAGGTAAATAAAAGCTCTGCGTACATTTTTTGCGTATAATCTCAAAAATGCAAAATTTTGAGTTGTGACTCTTTTGAAGACGGTGTGCGATATGTGTTGTGTGGCTGAAAGAAGTTCATAATACTAGTGGCAGAAATAAAAGAAACGCCTTATTTCAACCAGTTTAGTCTATATTTATTTTCTTTATTTAATACTAGCAACCCGCCCCGGCTTCGCACGGAAATAAAATATAAGGCCTATGTCACTCACTGAAAAAATGATTAAAATCGATCCCGTAGTTTTGATTTATTCATTACTGCCCGTGGCCCGCACGCGTTACATTTGGAGTAAAACAATTCCCCTTTCTTTATACCATGAAGATTTCCTGCTATCTTTGGAATATCTAAATTCATACCCTACATTTTAACATATTTACTTTTTGCATTTTTACATATTTATTTTATTTTTACAACAACAATTAATATATTACAGAATGTCTTTATATACAACGTTCACAGCTTTCTTGTCATTAGACAATACAAACATGTTTTCTCTTGAGGTTACTCTTGAAAGAGCGACATACAGTTGGCCATGTGAAAAACAGTCAACGCTCAAATCTAAGCCTGCAACGTTGAAGGTTTGACCCTGCGATTTATTAATGGTCATTGCAAAAGATGTCTTTACCGGAAATTGTAAACGTTTAAATTGGAATGGTAAATCCGATGGTATCATAGGGATTCGGGGAATCAATACATCTTCTCCGGTACCACATCCTGTGAGTATTGTGCACTCTATTATGAAAGTTTTCAGTGATTTTACCAGCAAACGCGTGCCATTGCAAAGTTTAGGTGGATTCAGGTTTCTTAATAAAATAACAGGACAACCTACTTTCAACACCATTTTGTGAGGAGGGAGTCCAGACGGGTTCAAAGAGTTTAGAAATTCTGTAGGAAAATGAACAGCTTCTTCCAAATCGAGAACAGTATCGACCGAGTAGTATATTTTCGTCGGCGCATTAACCTTTGAAAGAATCAAGTTATTTACTTTATCTACTTGTTCGTTAGTTGGTGACAGAATAGCTCTTTCAAGAGTATGAGATGAGATTCCCGCATAACTTCTAATGTTTCATTCGGTTGACAGCGAACAAACACACAAACAGCTTTTTTTGGAAAAAGTGCTGCTTTTGTTTAAACAATTTTGGTTAAATAAGATATGAATCAACTATTTTTTTTGATGCAGAACGAAAGTAAATATTTCAAAGTTTAACTTCAAGTAAGCTTCATTTTAATCGGTGGATTCTTTTATGATTTATGGCTGTGTAAACAAAAAATTTATGGGTTTTTACCACATTTTGTCCGATTGCAACGCCCCCTTTATATATTTCTTCACATTATAATGACATAAACCTTCCTCTTCAACCAATCTATCTATTAAAAAAAACCGCATCAAAATCCGTTGCTTAGTTTTCAAGATTTAAGCATTTAAGGGGACATAGGGACAGAAAAAGTGACTTTGTTTTATAATATGTAGTGATATAAATTTTTTTATAAAAGTCTAAAAATGCCAAAAATTTCAAACCTTTTACTCAGCATTTTTAGAAAAATTTGAGGTACTCAGTTTTATAGTCCATTAAATTTAAGTAGGATAAAATGCAAGTTTCATGCAGTTACAAAATACCGTTGATTTTTGGAAATTTTTTAAACGATGCTGGGCATTTTCTTTCATATAAACAAATTGTCAAACATACTTTGTATGGAAGAAAATGCGTGACACCGCCAGCAAAAAAAAATATAAAAATCAACGTTACTTTTAGTCATTTGAAACTTGCACTTTATCCTCCTGTAATTTAATGGGCTATACTTGATTGAAACAGTTTGAAACAAAAAAATTCAAAACACACGAAGCAATCAATATACTCACGACACTATGGGCCAAATATAGTAAAACTGCGTTTTTAGTTTTAGAATTTTTTTATTAGAACTTTATAATTTCAAAGATATGATAAATTCAGTGTAATGTGGAATAAAAATTGGTACCAAATAAGAGAAAATTCTGTAGAATTCAAAAAAATTCAAATTTTTTGGGTTCACAAGGACGAACAGGTATTTCAAGGATACAATTTTTAAGAACATTTTCAATACCTTATGCGCGACAAAATTGTATCTGTTCTTTCTCTAAATTTTTTCTCTTTAATTTGATACCCATACTGTTTTCCTAAATACGTTGCACTAAATCTTTTAAACCATTTTTTGAATTACTCATATTATTCAATTTTCAAAGTCCTTTTAAAAAACCCAGACGTCAGCGAAAAAAGTTAAAACGCAATTTTACTGCATATATTTGGCCCAGATTTTTTTGTGTGTAAAATTGCCGGTTGCACGGTGTTATGTGAATGTATAATTAGCTAGCCCTATAAAAAAAAAGTATTAAACATTAAATAAACAAAGGAAATATAGCGAAAACTGGTCAACATAAGGCATTATATTATTGCCACCATTGCAAATTACGAATCCCGAAGATCCCGGGATTCTAGGCAAATCCGTAAAGTGCACAGCACAACAACAGCACTTAACGCCATAAACACTAAGATAACTCGTAGCCTGAACCGAAACCGTCCCTGTGAGAGAACTATTCTAGTAGCGTTGGCGTTCGACACTGTCAGTCATTCAACGCTGCTAGAAGACATACGAGACCTCCTCACTCCCACAGGGACTCAAACGGTGGTCGGCGAATTAACTGAGTGGTCGACACTCTTCAGTAATTTTTAGGGACAAAACCAGCAAGCTAAGAAAAATTAAACCGCAAGGTGGTGTCCTGTCCCCACTAATGTTTAATTATTACATCTCAAAGCTTCCAAACCACTAAAGGTTGTCTCTTATGCTGACGATTGTTCGATCATGGCGTCTGGGAATGTAATTGATGACTTGTGCCTGAA